GTCTCTTCCAAAGCTAGCATTCTATGACTCAACAGAGGCTGGATGGCCATTTGTCAGGAGGGATTGAATGGTGTCTTCCTGCTGGTAAACAGGATGGCCCTTGGAGTTTCTTCCAAAGCTAGCATACTATCAAAAGAGGCTGGATGGTCACCTGTTGGGAGGGCTTTGATATTGTGTAGGCTGGATGGCCATCAGTCAGAAAGGATTGACTGGTGTCTCCTCACTGGTAAACTGGATGGCCCTTGGAGTCTCTTCCAAAGCTAGCATTCTATGACTCAACAGAGGCTGGATGGCCATTTGTCAGGAGGGATTGAATGGTATCTTCCTGCTGGTAGACTGAATGGTCCTTGGGGTCTCTTCCAAAGCTAGCATTCTATGATTCAACAGAGACTGGATGGTCATCTGTTGGGAGGGCTTTGATTGTGTAGGCTGGATGGCCATTTGCCAGGAGGGATTAAATGGTGTCTTCTTGATGGTAAACTGGATGGCCCTTGGGGTCTCTTCCAAAGCTAGCATTCTATGACTCAAAAGAGGCTGGATGGTCCTCTATTGGGAGGGTTTTGATTATGTAGGCTGGATGGCCATCTGTCAGGAAGAATTGATTGGTGTCTTCCTGCTGGTAGACTGGATGGCCCTTCCAAAGTTAGCATTCTATGACTCAACAGTGACGGTATGGCCATCTGCTGGGAGGGCTTTGATTGTGTTTCCTGCATAGCCACTCCATGATTCCATGGTTTAACGCCGGCAAACGTTCAGTGTTATTTTCTTCCTGGGCTGTCGGAGGGACGTATCTGAAGATTCATCTGCAATATGGCTTTTGTTTGTTTTTGCTTTCTGCATTTTAATCAGATCAAGCCTTTTAATCAGATCAAGACAGAAGAGATAAACAGAAGGGGAAAAAAATCTGAACGTGCATGTCAGAAGTATTACAATGAGGAAGATTTCCATATATCAATGATGGAGAATTGGAGAAGACACAGATATGCTTTTGGGGGCCCAAAAGACTTTGGAGTGCCATTCCTATATATATATACGCACTAGCTTGGGTACCTGGTGTTGCCCAGGGTAATTTAATTTTTTTTTTAATTTACAAAATGCATAAGGTTGTGGGTGAACTACAACTCACACCATGCCCGGTTAGCCCCCTGTTAAAGTTTGTCATGTTGGGCAAGTTTGCTCTAGATCATGTGTGGGCAAACCCAAGCCTGGGAGCTGGATGGGGTCCCTTGGGCCCTTTTGTGAGGCCCTCCTCTCTCTCACCATCCTATCCTTCCTTCTCTCTTTCCTTCCTCCTTCCCTCCATCTTTCTCCTTCCCTTCCACCTTTTTCGTCCTTCCTTCCTCTTTCCTTTCTCCTTCCTTCTCTCCCTTCCTTACCTTCCTCTTTCTCCTTCCATCCTTTCCTTACTCCTTCCCTCCTTCCTTCTTCTTCCTTCCTTCCTCTTTCCTTTCTCCTTCCTCCCTCCTTCCTTACCTTCCCTCTTCTCTTCATCCTTCCCTTCCTTTCCTCTCCCTCTTTCTCCCTTCCCTCCCTTCACCCTTTCATCCTTCCTTCCTTCCTCTTTCATTTCTCCTTCCCTCTCTCCCTCCCTTCCTTACCTCCCTCTTTCTCCTTCCATCCTTTCCTTACTCCCTTTCACCCATCCTTCCTTCCTTCCTCTTTCCTTTCTCCTTCCCTCTCTCCCTCCCTTCCTTACCTCCCTCTTTCTCCTTCCATCCTTTCCTTACTCCCTTTCACCCATCCTTCCTTCCTTCCTCTTTCCTTTCTCCTTCCCTCTCTCCCTCCCTTCCTTACCTCCCTCTTTCTCCTTCCATCCTTTCCTTACTCCCTTTCACCCATCCTTCCTTCCTTCCTCTTTCCTTTCTCCTTCCCTCTCTCCCTCCCTTCCTTACCTCCCTCTTTCTCCTTCCATCCTTTCCTTACTCCCTTTCACCCATCCTTCCTTCCTTCCTCTTTCCTTTCTCCTTCCTTCTCTCCCTCCCTTCCTTACCTCCCTCTTTCTCCTTCCATCCTTTCCTTACTCCCTTTCACCCTTCCTTCCTTCCTCTTTCTCCTTCTCTCCCTCCCTTACCTCCCTCTTTCTCTTTCCCTCCTTCCTTCCCTCCCACCCTTTAGTCCTTCCTTCCTTCTCTCCGTCTTTCTCCTTCCTTCTTTCCTTTTGTCTTTCCCTCCTTCTCTCCTTTCTTTAGCCTTCCTTCATCCTTCCCTTACCTTCCTTCCTTTCTTCCTTCTCTTCCTCCTTTTCATCCTTCCCTTCCTCCTTTTCTTCCTTCCTTCTTTTTTCCTTCCTCCTTCCTTTCCTTCTTTCCATCCTTCACTTCCACCCGTTCATCCTTCCTTCCCTGTTTCCTTCCTCTTTCTCCTTCCTTCCTTCCTTCCTTCCTTCCTTCCTTCTTCCTTCCTTCCTTCCTTCCTTCCCTTTTGCCTTTCCTTCCTTCTCTCTTTCCTTCATCCTTCCCTTCATTCCTTCCATACTTCCCTTCCACCCTGTCATCCTTTCCTCCCCTTTGACTTTCCTTCCTTCTCTCCTTCCCTTATCCTTCCCTTCCTTCCATCCATCCATCTCTTCCTCCCTTCCTTCTCCTTTTCCTTCCTCATTCCTTTCCTTCCTTCTCTTCCTCCCTTCCATCCTCCCTTTCCTCCTTTCTTTCCTTCTTTTTTCCCCTTCCTAGATGGGCATTTCAGAGCGATTTCGCTTCCTGTGAGTCGAACTCTGCTAGACGTAAGATGCATCTACACAGTAGAATTAATGCAGTTTGATACCACTTCAACTGCGGTGACCCAATGCTGCGGAACTTTTGGAGCTATGGAAAGTCTTCCACTTTTTCTGGCAAAGTGTGTTTGGTCTTCAGCAAACTACAACTCCCACAATTCCATGGCATTCGGTTACAGTGGTTCAAGTGGTGCCAAACCGCATTAATTCTACAGTGTAGAGGCTTTCGTAGATTGCAGCGAAGCATGGCCATATGTCTGCAAAGATAGCCGTGCAAAGTTGCCCTCTAGATGTCCCACATCCACGGACGGAATTAGCATAATGGAAACATAATGGAAGGCAATTTTATTTTTTTCTAATTTTGCAATAGCAACTTCAGCATATCTTTCAGAGGCTTTTTATGGTGCGCCCCGTTGGTGCCGCGCAGCACGTCTCTAAGTGCAGATCAATGGGCCATTGGCAGTCGATGAGCAAGAGATGTGGGCCGGCCATGGTCTAACAATAGCATATTTCCATACAATATGGAAAGAAGAGGAATAGGCTCCTACGCTGCAAAAAGGACGAGAAATTCAATCCATGCCTGACCAATTGATCAGATCTTCTCTCTTGTCCTGTTCTAATAATCCTAACCTTCAATACATACCCCCTTGGAGTATCCATCGATCCATATATCTATCTACTGAGACATCTACCAGATAGATCTGTTTCTACTGAGTATCCATCGATCCATCCATATATCTATCTACTGAGACATCTATATCTATCAATCTATCATCAACGTCATCTACTTACCTATCATGAAGACATCTAGATAGATAGATAGATAGATGGATGGATGGATGGATGGATGGATGGATGGATACTCAGTAAAAACAGATATAGATGGATGGATGGATGGACAGATAGATGTCGTTGATGATAGATTGTAGATGACGTTGATGATAGATAAGTAGATGACGTTGATGATAGATTGATAGATATAGATGTCTCAGTAGATAGATATATGGATGGATCGATGGATACTCAGTAGAAAGAGATATAGATGGATGGATGGATGGATGTCTCAGGTAAGAAGATGACGATGATGATAAATCGATAGATATAGATATCTCAGTAGATAGATATATGGATGGATCGATGGATACTCAGTAGAAAGAGATATAGATGGATGGATGGACAGATAGA